GGTTCTGCGGAAAAACCCAACCATAGGTCGATTTTTTGCCCATATATTCAAGATCAAACTACGTCATACCTCAGGAATTATTTAAACCCATGTAAAATGCAAGGCTGTCAAGTCTCCAAGTCCGCAACAATATCCCCCAGTTACGTTATTGTCCATCTTGTCGAGGTTACCACACCAAATCGGTCACCAACACTACAACAACAACACCAATAAAGATCGTAAATTTCTGTCTCGACTCCATCGTGATCAATGAGAGGAAAGTCATCACCATCAACATCACCGTCACGGTGCCAGTCAGACTTGTCCATCGCTGTTCTAATTCATTTTCATCAACACTAAATCCTTCAACACCTCAACCATGACGCCAGTCAACCATTATGTTTCTCTTGTTGCAGATGGCTATCACCGACAACGGCAACGTTTTCATCACCTCAATTGACACAATATCAATCAAGCTTAAGTCCAAGTGTTCTATTTTATTTTGATCAACAGCGGAAAGTCTTCACTAATTCAGGTCTTCGTGCATGCATTTGTTGATGCAGGCCAAACACGATTTTTCATCGCTTAAGACTAGTACGATCAATACCATGTCTACCACTACAAGGAACAGTTATTGTTCAAGCTTAAACTTGTCGTTATTGCTGACATTCGATAAGCTCTCCAGGACTGCAATAATATCCTCTAGTTACGTTATTCTCCATCTTGTTGAGATCCCCGCACAAAATTACTCACCAATACTCCAACCGCAATAACAATAAAGATCGTAAATTTCTGTCTTGTACATCATAATGAACGAGAGAAAACCGTCACCATCAACTTCACCATCGTTGTGCCAGTCAGGCTTGTCCATCGCTGGTTGAATTCACCCCCAGTTACGTTATTGTCCATCTTGTTCAGATCACTACACCAAACCGGTCATCATCACACAACCAAAATACCAATAAATCTCGTAATTTCTGTCGCACATCGTAATCAATGAGAAGAAATTCATCAACATCAATTCCACCATCATGATGCCAGTCAAGCTTGTCCATTGCTGTTTGAATTCACTTTCATCACACCGACCAGTTTTAACCAATTCAAGCATGACGCCAGTCAGTGATTAAGTTTCTCTCGTTTTAGGTAATTATCACAGACGTCATAAAAGTTTTCCTCACTTCAATTAACACATCATCAGTCAAGTTAATCTAAGTTTTAATTTACTTTCATCAACAACGGCCAGTCTACCATTTCGGTCTTGACAGAAGTCAAACTCAGTTTCTCATCGCTTAAGATCAGTACGACCAATACCATGATAGTCCACCACTTCAACAAACATATAGTTGTTGCTCAACCGATTATTGCTGAATTCAAGAAGCTCTCCAGGACCGCAACAATATCCGCCAGTTACGTTGTTGTCCATCCTTTTGAGATTACCACAGAAGATCGGTCACCACACTGCAACCACAACACCAATAAATATCGTAATTTGCCGTCTCGTCCATCGTGATCAATGAGAGGAAAGTCGCCACTATCAACTCCACTGTCGTGATGCCTGTCAAGCTTGTCTTTTGCTGTTTGAATTCACTTTCATCGAAACCGACCAGACTTTGCCACTTCAACCACAACCACCATCATTTCCACCACCACCATTATTACCGCCACCGCCATCATTACCACCACCATCATCTCCTCGACGACCATCACCACCAATATGATTCCCACGACCAAAAACATCCTCAATATTTCGACCGAGGCCAAGGTGATCTACAAAACGACGAAGATGACGAACACGACGAACAGGACCTCCAGCACGACCACCACCACCATGACCAGCATCACCACCACCCCCATCATCACCACCACCACCATCACCATCATCATTTCCACCACCACCCCCATCACCGCCACCATCACCACCATCATCATCACCACCCCCATCATTTCCACCATCATCATTACCACCATCATCACCACCATCACGATGAAGCTAAAATAGTTGAAAGATACGAATTAGCACCTAATAAAGAAACTGAATAGTAATATTAAGTGATATGCTTATACTCGTACTCATTTTCGTCATTCCGTGAAAGCTTTAATTGGTTAGGTTTTAATGTCTGGGTTTTATTGAATAACTTCACTGTTATTTAGGTATCCAAGTTCTCAGTACACAAACGAATGAGAACATGCTTTAAATAATGAATTAGTTATCCTTACCCTCCTTCCTTCTTCGTACGATATAATAATGCGTGCAAGCTCCGCTTTGGTCAGCATTCTGTTTCTTTCTCCAACTGCAACATGAATTGTTAATATTAATTAATGAAATTATTGAGAATCCCAGATCGGAATGGGTTTTTTTCTGATCATAGTGGTTTAACTTTTAAACAGGTCCAGGGTTGTAGCCATATATATAGGTAAATATAGGTAGCTATTTAATCATTTCAAGTCGCTCGATGTTAACATACAAGCTGGGGGGTCCCCCCTTGTGCCCCCCCCACGAAATCACATTTTGCCCCCCCCCCAGGAAAAGTCCCTTTTCCCTAAAATTATAGAAACAAACCAGCGAAGATTAACAAATACATAAACGGAAAGTAAGTTTTAGGCTTTATCCTTTGTCCTTGTTTAACAAAATCGATTTAAATTGTATTGTTAATAATTTTTTTATTTTTTGGATGCTCAGAATGCAGGAAATAGCATTTCCAAGTTTCAAATTTCAAACATTTTCTGGGGATTATTCCTCTAATAAGTAATGATAAATTACAGTTAATATTCTTTTTTACTTTTTGTGCATTTTTTCCATCTTTTATTTCAAATACAGGTATAGTTAGCATATATTTTAGAGCAAATTTGGATGCTCAGAATGCAGGAAATGGCATTTCCGTGCTTCAAATTAAATTTCAAAACTTATCTGGGGAGTACACCCCCACACACCTGACCATTCCCATCCTCTTCTAATAAGTAATGATAAATGATAGTTAATTTTTTTAACTTTTGTGCGTTTTTTCCTTTAGTTATTTCAAATACAAGTATAGTTAGCATAAATTTTGGAGCAAATTTGGATGCTCAGAATGCAGGAAATGACTTTTCCGGGATTCAATTTTCTGTCTGGGGGAGTACTCCCCTAGACCCCCCCCCCC